CGATTACCGTTTGCAAAAGTGAATATATATAAAAAATATATATATATATATACATATTATATTGATAAACTACACAAGGTGTTGTGTGTGTGTGTGTGTGAGTGTGTGTGTGTGCATATGTGCTAATAGTCGAGCTCTCTCGAGCAGAACATTCTCACTTAATTGTTCGTTAGCCTTTAGCCAATATACATTTCATATTTTTCAAGTCTTATGCACATCCGTTGAAGATGAAAGAAGCAAAACTTTGAGTACTCCCCACTCACGCTTAGCTTTAGTCCAACAACCTTGTAGAAGCTTAGCCCAGATTTTACATGGCACACACATGTATACATATGCACACACACACACACACACACACATATATATATATATATATATAGCTCTGTCCTAACATAAATCAGTATAAATTACCTAAGGCAACGCAATTTATGCACGCACTTTGTGAACTTAAAAACGTTTTGTGTGCTGTTTTTCTGATGTGCCGCCCTCGTCTGTCCCCCTTCCCCGCTGATGCCATGTAATGTTGCCACCGGATGGGCCACCGGAGGGGCGCCACCAATGCGTTCACAAATTGTGAGTGCGTATTCCCCAAGTTTGTTTACATTTTCGATGGTTTGTTGTAATTGCTCACTGTAATTTATGCGAGCGGCGGCCCAAAGTCAATGTCGGGCCAACACCAACATCAACACCAACAACAACAGCAACAGCAACAGCGACAGCGACAACAACATCAGCAACAATATGAAAGAAAAAAGCGAAACGAGCAACGAAAACCTAGAAAAACTTACCGACTCCAAGAGCAAACAGAGTCTGGCCCAGCGACAGACACGGAAAACCGTTTATCTGAGCAAATGTATCTCAAGGCAGTAATTACAATTTATTGTTGGTAATTATGTAATTTCGTGCAGGGCGACAGATACGAGTAGTTAGCAGACTGCGAGTCTGCATCCAAGATAGCTCACACTCTGAAGCTGACAATCCAAGTGCGTGTACATACTATTTATATACACTCGGAGAAAAAGATGCAGATTCGATTTACTTTTGGCGCCAAGGCTAACTCTGCTGAATATTCAGAAAGTGTTTTTCGAAAATCCAGGGTTTTTCTTTTCTCAATTTGAGTTTGAATATTTATTTAATTTAAGACGGCAGCCAAACTCTAATATAAAAGTTAAAACAATAAAATGCGTAAATTGTTTTTTTTCTTCTAAAATGTTGGCTTGCATTTCTACTTTTTAGAAATGCATTTCTTAATAATATAAAATATATCTCAAAAATAATCAAATAAATATTATTGGGATTGCATTCTAATTTTTAAAAATTTACTTTTCTCTTTTATCTATAAATTATTTCTCATTTTTCTGAGTGTATGTATGCATCTGTGTGTATGTATGCATCTATGTGCGTGCCTAGGTCAGTTGGTTGTTGATTGCCACTGCGAACCTTGTGCGTTTTGCATGCGTGCGCATTTAAATGAGTCTCTGTAGCTGAAAAATGCATTTGAAGCCACTTTGCAAGCTGTTTGCTTTCATGCGGACTTGCACCACTCAATGTGGGTAAGCACGGAGCTAGCTGAATGGAGAAGGTGAAGCGGTGGGGGTGGTGAGAGAGAGAGAGAGAGAGAGAGAGAGAGAGAGAGAGAGAACAGCTGCTTGCACTTTTATTGACGGCTTGTTAGCTCTAGCGGTGGGTGGAGGAGAGGGAGAAGGAGGGAGAAGGAGAAGGAGAGGGAGAGGGAGAGGGAGTAGAGGGAGCCCATTGCATGCTGCATGCAAGCAATTATGATTGCTACTACGACTGTTTGCTGCCTTTAGCCGGTTCATCTGGCACACTGCAAAGAAAGTTAAGCTGTTACCGGCGAACGCTAGTTAAGATATGCTCTCTCATGCAACATGCAACATGCAACAACTGTAAGCTGTTTGATCGTCTGCAACACTCTTGTGTGTGTGTGTGTGTGTTTGCAACAATGTTTGTCACTTCCTGTCCACGCATTGGGACCTATTTTTGTGTCAACTTCATGGCCTAATACACGCATTTCCTGTGGCTTTTATGATTTGTATAAAAGAACAAGTTAAACTGAATAATAGGGAAACATGTCGACAACCCGACAAAAATTCTTGAATCGGTTTTGAGGGAAGAGTTATTGATTTAGAAAGGGGCGCACTTGATCCAACTAGTTCGCAGTAATTACTCCCCAATAATAATATAATAATAATAATGTTGAAATATGTTTGAATAGTGCAGCAACGATTAATACTTAAGTATCGCTATATCGATTAGTATCGAAGATCTGGTCACACATGAATTGTCTTTTTTTCTTACTGCGTTGTATTTACCTAAGTTCAAAATTTGCTCTCAATTCTTCAACAAGTAAAGACGCACTCGCGCATAATAAAGATAATCCATAATCAGAAACTGCGTTTAACTCTTCATTTTTATCCACGCCATTTCCAAAAAATAATAATAATAATAATAATAATAATAATAATAATAATAATAATAATAATAATATTAATAATAATAATAATAATAATATTAATAATAATAATAATAATAATAGTAATAATAATAATAATAATAATAATAATAATAATAATAATAATAATAATAATAATAATAATAATAATAATAATATTAATCATAATAATATTAATAATAATATTAATAATAATAATAATAATAATAATAATAATAATAATAATAATAATAATAATAATAATAATAATAATAATAATAATAATAATAATAATAATAATAATAATAATAATAATAATAATAATAATAATAATAATAATAGTAAAAACAATAATAGTAATTATAATAATAATAATAATAATAATTGAGAATCATCGTCTCAGGAAGCGAGTGACTTAAATGAAGTAATCTCTTCAAGCCCATCAATCCAAATTGATAAAAAAAAAAGTACTATCTCATTCCCAATTAAATTTGCCGTCCATCTAAATCACATTAGTTGCATGTTTAGTTCACTTATTCACCACAAACCCCTCAAGGTATTTCCGTTAAAAAATTGAAAATTTAAATTTAATTTGCGGCAAAAAAAGCAAGGCAGCTTCATCAGCAGCTTCATCAGCAGCATTAGATTGCACATATTCAAATTATCTTTGGCACTACTTCTTTTTTCTGTATTGTTTGGCGAGCGCAAAAAATGGCATTAAAATAAAAATAGCAAAGTGTTGGACCAGTAAACAATGACAGGAAATACGTTTGGCTAACTGAGCAAACGCAATGGAGGCGCAACATATAAAAAAAAACAGAGAAAAACTGGAAATCATCGTTGCCGGCGCTGGAACCCGGTGGTACATCATTAACATACATTTGAAAACGCAAATTCCTACCGTGCTGCAATGCCTTGTGTCTGTTGTCGCTTGTCTCTTGCCACTTGCCGCTTGCCAGTTGCCTTTGGTTGCCAGCGTTTTTCACTCTGCCCCTTTTGGGTGATAATGTGGCTTGGGCTCTGTGGCCGCCGCATAAAATTTGTAAGTATGTTAGACTTGTCACTTGCACACTTCATGCCCATATTTGTCACATTTGCGCCATGTTCGCATGGGTTCGGGTTCTGGCTCGGGTTTGGGTTTGGATTCGTCTGCCCAGACACAGAGACAGACGCAGAATGGCCCGCGGCACAGCGTCCGGCGCTGGTCCTACATGGGTCCTAGTCCTCCTGGCTCCAGTTGTCAGTAACATTGTCGTGGCTGCTGCTCGTTAGTTGCGCATCTGATTTGCCCAACTACGACGACAACGACATGGAAATTTCGCTCGCTCCACGTTTTGTTTGTGTGCGCACCTCCTAGTCTCATTTGTGGGGTACATTATTTCATCTAAACAGTTGACAACTAAAGCGACCTTAGTGTTGTCAACAGAAATACATTATGTTTGCTTAAAGGCTTTAAAGCAGCTCACATTTATAGGGTATCTTGTCGCCTGTCAGCAGCACAATAGCATGCGGACTTGTTTTATTGTTTTGCCGGCTGCTGTTGCGGTTGCTGCTGCTGCTGCTGCTGCTGCTGCCGTTGGCCATATTTGTATGAATAAATGCGTATTTAAGCACATACTTACAACACTTGCCATGTACATATGAAACAGAAACAGAAGCAGAAGCAGGAACAGACACAGACACAGAACCTTCCCCATTATCAGCTCCTATCCCCTCCACCCCAGCTCTCCACTCAGCTCCCATCCATGGGGCAGGCTCTTCAGGCGCGCATTTTGCATTTTTCTGTGCGCTTTTCCATTTTTACATCTTTTACTGCTGCGGTTTTTCTCGTTGTCACACATTTGCTTTATGCTCTTTATGATTCTTAGTTGGAGTCTGCTCATTTTTAAATTTTCCTCAGTTTTTCCAACGAAATAATATTAACGAAAAAAGCTTTTTTCCCAATTAATTCAAATGCAAAATTGCATGTGGAGAAGTTAATTGAATATCGAAATTGTATTCATGCTTGTTTGAGTGGAAATCAGGCCATCAATATGTATCTAATTAAAAATAATAAATTCACTTGACAAGCTAAGAAATATGTTAGCTATATTATCACAAATATGAACTTTAAATGTTGTACATTATTGGCAACCAAATGTGATTTGCGGCAAACAAAAAGTTCATTATTTATTTTTTTAGTTTTAATTTAAAACAAATTATTATATTTATTTCTGATTGGTAGGCAAAGTGGACAGCAAAACTAAAACACTTTTTATGCATGGGTGAGAAAAGTCGCTTTACCGGATTTCATAGATTCAATTGAACCATTAAAATATTAACATAAATAATTTAAAAATGTTGAGTGCAAGAAAAAAACGAACGAAAACGAATAAAATGCGTGGCTGCAAGCGAAAATTTAATTTATTTTTAATGCAGGTCGAAACTCGTCATAAATTGTTGGCATCAAACTGTGACATTATTAACAATTTACCACTGCCGCAGCTGCAATTTGTTGTTGCCTTAATAATTTATATATATTTTTCTCTACATATTCATATCATTGCAGGCCCTACAACAACAACAACAACAGCAACAAAAAGAATATTATTCAAATGTAATATGTTTGACAACAAAGTTCCGGGATTGAAATTGAAATTAACAACACAAATGCTTTAAATTGAAACGGCAACTGGACAGAGAGAAGAGCGGAAAAGTCAACCTCATTTTGAATTTTTAATAAGCTTCAAAAAGTGTTAAATGTTGATGACGTCACCGCTGCCACTGCCGCTGCCTCTGCTTCTGCCACTGTCGCCGTCAGCTTCGATTAATCAACATTGCTGAAAAGTCAATTAAAGGTAATCAAATCGAAACTGATTCCATTACAAAACCACCTAAAACACAAAACAATTTTAATAATGGTTTATTTTGGCACTTATTCCATTTGCCAACTACATCGATTAGTTCGGCATGCAAATGTCGCACTGCGGTTTTTAACGGCTGCAAATGTTGCACTTAGCTAGGGCAACCAGTTCAGGGTGAGGCCTAACCAAGAAACATGATGTTTTGGTTATTTATATTTTTCAACTTATCGACTTTGAAGTTAATTAACTGCATTTGAGTGCATATTTCTGTCTTGACATATGAGAAATTGTCGCGAGTGAAGTTGTTGCAAGAACTGAGGAATTTCCAATTGACTAGGGTGACAGCTAATAATTGTCCGCATACCGAGCATATTTATCTACAGTTTTTCTTAACGCCTTTAACTTTAAGCACGTCTGCGAAGCGCCAAAGAATTCGATATGTTTTTGTGCAGTTTTCTACGAGCAGTCAGCGATCTGTTTTGGGCGCTCTTCTCGAGTTGGTCTTCCGCATTTGTGCAACGCCAACGTTATTGCCGCAAGGGCCATTGGCCCCGCTCGGTCTGCAATTGCGTGATAAATTCAACAGCTGCCGTTGCAATTGCGCCTCTCCATGCGATTCTCAAACAGATGACTTTCACATGCCGCCGTGTCTGCAACACGCTCCACGCTCCACTTGAGCTGGCAACTCAACTGCGTAACTTAATTAATACCAGAGCGTAGCTGTGTATTATAAACAACACAGATCTTCAGTTTGTCAACTTTCTTCATTAATTTAATTACTGCTTTCAATTGAACCAACAGCAGCAGCAGCAGCAGCAAAAGCAGTAGCAGCATAGAACAATGCGCTGCAAGTGAATAAATCAATTGATTTGGGTCAACCCCCTCGCCATTCTGATTACCGATTGCCAGTCCCCCCCCACAATGCAGCCTTGCAAATAATGTTCTAACTTCAAAGCACTCAACTAGCAATGAGCAATGAGCAGCGAGCAGCGAGCAACTTGCAACCAGCAGCGAGCAACTTGCAACTGGCAGGCACATTTCACATTTGAAGCGGAGAGGCACATCATTCATTCACTTAAACACTTGTACATCTGTTCGTTTATCAATTATTGTTTGGTATGCACCACTTGAGAGTCGCTCGTAGGTCGCCAAAGTCTCGGCGACGTTTTCCACAGCACAGTTGACCGACTTTGAGTTATTGCTGTTTCTATTGTTGTTGCGTTGTGTGTTTGATTTTCATTAAGTCGCTCCCTTGTGCCATTCAATGCACACAATCCCCAGCTGGCAACTCTCAACTGGCAACTAGCAACTTGCAGCTTGCAGCTTGCAGCTTGCAGCACAATTGCAATTATTTGCGTCATTAAACCAGCGACCATTGCCGGCATTGGGTTACTTTCTGAACCTTTTGCGTGATTTATATTACTTCCAGTTTTAGAGTCACTAAAGATTTTCAATTGAGTTGCAGTTGCAGTTCGCAAGTTGCAGCTGCAACATTAACAATTTGCAATGAGCTTCTGACCCCAAACCAAACAGCACGCAGCCAAAAGCCAAACGAGCTTAAAGGGTTCAGTTGCTGCTTTTGGCAAATAAACTTTTTTCTTCGTACATTTCTTGGAAAATAGTTAACAGATTAATGTGTTAGTTTTAATTCTGCCCGAGTATTAATTGAAATAGAGTTGCAATTAGGAACATTTGATTTTCTTTGGATTATAAATTATATTTTATTTTAGTGAAATGTATAAGACATATTCAAATTCAAATTAATGATTGAATGATAGATATATTTGTAGATAGCCCAAGACGCAAATTTATTTGTTTTCAATACCTGACTACTCAACTATTGAAACTACAAACTTATTTAAAAACAGAAATGCAATATTAGAAATTATTTTGTGATTTAATTCAAACCCACGCCGCTGGCAAGGCACATTTTTCGCAATTTTCACATGCCATGAATACAATCTCATATTAGTCTGTTACTCACTTTCTTTTGGTCTTGAGCATTCATTATTAAATTAATTAAATTCTTGCGCTTCAATTAAAATCTTATTAAGTCCTCGCCGGCCTATCCGTCGCTCTCCCCCCTCCACCTCCACCTCCACCTTCCCCTCTCCATTCTCCCTCTCTCCCTCTCTCTCTCGAGAACAATGAATAATGCCACGAGGAGTGGCCGTCTGGCGAATTGTTCGGCAGCATCTTTCAAAGCTTTCTTATTCACACTTGGGCATGCGTTGCACACAGGGTCGAGAACAGGAACAGGACCAGGGAACAAGTTGCTGCGCCTGGCAAATGCCTTTCCTCTTCTCGCCGCCCTACCCCTTGCTGCCCCCAATCCGAGACGATCCCTTGCTACACATTTTTCAAACAATATGTGTGTGTATATAATAAAAAAAAGTCCTGGGAAAAAAGGACGCCTCTGCGTACCTTGTTGGCCCTTGTTGTTGTGTGCGGCATATGGTTGGCTTGGATTGGGTTGCCTCGTTTGTGCTCTGTTTGAGTGCGAATTGGTAAAGTTACCGCACTTGTCGTAGTTGTTGTTGTCGCTGCTGCTCCTGTTGCACATATTGCTGCTGCATTTTTCGCATAAATTTCGCTTTTGCACTTAGCTCATGTCGGCTTCCAGACAGGGTCTTTAAATGACTCTACCCTCCTCCCTCTATCTCTCTCCCTCTCTCCCTCTCTTTGTCTGTCTGTCTCTCTTTTTCTCTGTGTCCAGGTCGGTGCATGAACAATGGTTCTGTTTAAAGCAAAAACCTTGACTGTGCTCGATCTCTGGCTCCCCTAAAATGAAGAGAGGGCAATATGGACCAGGGGGAGGCTTGAATTGGATGTCGGTCGTGGGCAAAAGTTTTGTGCAAATGATGAATGCGAACATTATGGGACATTTGAATGCACAGGGAGTGATAACAGTAAATGCATTCATCTAATAAGAATAAGTGCATTTCTCATATAATGTGAGAGGTAATAACAATTATTCTCCACCTAACAATTATTTTTAATGTGCAATGGCGCATCCCATTCTTATGGGTATCTTAATTGTCACTTTTAAGTACAAGTATTTGTAATAATAAAACCATCTTATTACCTATTTCACTATGCGGAACATTTCCTGCATCCACATTTTTAACATTCTTAATTTGACTCCGTTGTGGTTAACGTGTGAGTCGCAAAATTGGAATTTGATTTAAATAATCTTGATTTCATTGTTTTTTTAATAATCTTTACGAAATGAATAATAAGACAATTAGTTAAAATAAAGACAAACGATAACCACTTTTCTGCAAATAACCCAATTAATAAAGATTAGAAAGGGTTTAATTTCTATTTTGCTTAATTGTATATCAAACGAAGCGCTTACCTTTCTCCAATTATCTGCTGTTTGTGAAATTGATACTTTTCACAAAACGAAAATTCGATAAATCATTCAAAAACACAAAATACTCTAACATTCGCAACATACTATACGAATGTTGGATGTCCCTCAGGGGAAAAAACATAATTTACATACTGCTGAATTCAAGAAATCTTTGGCTGATTTGTATATTTCCAAACAGACTTAAGGCTTTCAAAGTCAGCGCTTGGGGCTTGTAATATTAATAATGATCAGATCTGGTCAAAATTTTGTTTAAGCTTAAAGCTTCTTTCATCGCCTGTCGCTTTCTTCGTTCTTTCTTTCCTCTTTCCTCTCGCCCTTCCCCAAGGCGAGTTGATTGTTCAGTTGCCTGACCTGCATTGCCACCCACAGCTTGGGGTTGCCGCTCGAGTGCGATGGCCAACTAAATCACCGCAACTGTGCAACTAAATTTCAAGCGCACTAAATTTCGCTGCAGCTAAGAGCGACTCCGAGCATGTGGCGGGACTTGTTTGCCGAGCTGCCCTGCCAGCTGCCCCTTTGGATTCATGTCTACCTGCACTCAGGAAAAATCAGTCTGAATTTTCGAAATTCGCCATTCTTTGGAAGCAAAGTGTTCCTTTAATTTATGTTTCTGACTTTCTAAGGACCTGAGTTCTTATTTATATAATTTCATAGTGGATTTTTCTACAAAATTTAAAATAACTGAAGATATAGAAGAATTTGTTTGGTACTTCAACATACGTATTTTAATATTTCACATATATGCAAACACGCAGTTCAACTTAGTTTATACAAATTAATTTACCTTCATTGGAAAAGACTTCGTATTTTATGGTTATTCCGAGCCCAAATTCTTCGACTTATTTTCCGCTGAGCTACTGAAGCAGACAAAAACTAAACCGCTGAGCTACTGAAGCAGACAAAAACTAAACTTTTATGTAGAAATCAAGAGAGAGAATTTCATAAAGGACTTTTATCATCAAAGTATGCTGTTCTACTTTTTAGAAATGTATTTTTTAATAATGGAAAATATTTCAGGAAAATAAAAAGAACTATATTTTTGGGATTGTCGATTTCGGGCGAGCCTTCTTCTTATACTTGGAGAATATTTATAAAAGCAACAAATGCTTTCTAATATTTAGGTCGAGTTACTGAATTTAATTTTTTTTTTTGAGTGTGCTACGTGGCAACAAGGCTCTTTGGCTGCCGTCGTTCTGGTCCTTTTGTTATTTCCTTGCCGTGCAATTTTCGCCATTTTGTGGCGCACTTTGCGCCCGCCGCGATTTGCAAAGATTTATGGCGCTCGACATGGCGGCGGTCAGCGCTTGGCAAGCTCTACTTAGTGTGTCTCCCTCTCTCTCTCTCCTTGTCTTTGTCTTTGTCTTTGCCTGTGTCGGTTTGCTTTGCCAGCTTGTTGCAGTTGCAGTATTCGCGAATTGAGTCAGCTCAGCAGCAACAAATGCTGCCTTCTAATGCCTGCCAGCACTGTCGCAAAAGCAACCTAAGCCCTTGGCCAACTGGTGCTGGCTGTAACTCCTTTACGCGCTTTTACATTCTCGTTTTCATTTTGCTGGTTTCTACATTTCGCTACTTACTGCTTAATTCAAACACAAATCCGATCTGCTTGCTGACTTTTGTC